TCACGACTGGGCTCCGGGCAAAGCTGTCCCGTGGGGCAGCACCCCACTTCTGAGGAGCCAGAGGTACCCCAAGTCCTCCAAGCCATGAGGTCTGAAGCAAGCTGGGCTGTGAGGAGTGTAGCAAACGACAGTGTCTCACAGTACCCTTTAGTAAAAGCAGTTCTGGGGGAAAAACACCCAAAACATTATGGAAAGAAACTTGGTATCAGTAACAAAAACTGGAGGAATCAAAAGTCTGTCCCAGTAGAGAGAAAAGCGTTACTAAAACGGTTATGTATTTGAAGAGTCATCAAGAGCAGGTATCTTGTTTCCCCAGGCAGGGGAGATCCTTCTACAGAAGGATGTGCTTGAGCATAGGGGAAAGGACATAGCGTCAGAGTAAGACAGTGCACGGTTTATTGCAGACAGGTCACATTTTCATCAATTAAATAAGGTTAAATGAGTAACTTCAGCCAGACAAATCCACTTATTCATAAAAAGTAGTCTTATTTAAGGTGTAACAAAATTTTCCTGATTGACTGAAGCATAGCCAGCTATTCTTTTTTTTTTTTTTTTTACTGCACCAATAATCAGATTTTTTTTAAAAAATTAAAACCTTTGGTAAAGTACAAACACAGTTTTAAGACGAACAGGATCAATGTTCTCTATTGTTACTGTGCTGGGAAAACTAAGTACAGCCCTATAACTGTGCTGTGATACCTAGAAGGGTTTAATCAGAGTAAGTGAAAGAACTTTAAAATAAACTTTTAAAGCAAATCTAAAAGAAATAAACTAAGTTCAATGTCCCAAACATATTTAAAAATGAGCAGAAGACTGGTTATTCCACAGGTATTCAAAATTAGCGACAATTAATCAGTCCGCACATCCCCTGTCCAGCCATTACAGATTCCAAAATGGAATGTAATTTTTTTTTCAAACCAAGACTTCTGAATTTTCATATCCAAACAATATTTAAGAAATGTCTATTCCATCATATAAAAAAGCTTTAATGTACTACAAAGTTAAAAACAAAAAGAAAATGACACAAGCTAAAAGTAGAAAAATACATTTTAAAACATTTGTATTTTGTTCCTTACACTGCTCAAGATATAACAAAATAGTTTCAATTAGACCCCTGTCATAAGTTCATGGCATTTTCAGAAGCAGACAGTTATTGACTCAGCAGTCACTGGTCAGCATCCAGTAAAGGTGTCTGACCATCGCAAACAGCCAGCAGATTTTGTTTCTAGAAATCCTGTGTAGACACTGAGCTTCATGATTACTAGAAGAGTCCAAAAATAACCAAACTATTCTAAAGTTAGGTTTGTCAGTCAGTCAGCACCCCTCCTCCGTACAGCAATCGGCCAATCTTTTGTAAGGAAAGCCCCTGTGGATTTAGGTGGCCCCGAATGTCGAGCAGGGCCCCGTGTCAGCCCTGAGGTGAAGGGGACAGCCATAGCACACGCTGCCGCTCCTGCTGCCTGCTTGATTGCATCCCTAAAATGCACGTGAACCACGATACTGAAAAAACAGAGGCGATGGGGGGGGTGGAGGGGCTGGGGAATGAGAGAGAGGTATTACCTAATAAATATCGCAAAATAATACATTTACACGTAATAATGGCGCTGAACCGAGTTTTAAGCCCTTGCTGTCATGTTTCCCTTTCCCCACGCAGCAGGCGTCTGTGCTGCAGGCAGGCCTGCCTCCGACCAGCGGGTGGTGCTGGTCTCACAGCAATAACAGCATCCTCCAGTGTCACCTCCTTAGGCTTTTAAAAATCAAAGATACCTATAGTTTCATCTGGAAACTGTATTTGCAGCATCTCCCTAACGTTGTTACCACCACAGCAGGAAACTGCTACTTCCACAGAGCTTGTCTGGATCAGACAGAAGGTTGCAAATACGGTGTAAACAAGTTAGTGGAAGGTCTGTACGTAATGGTAGAAGATCAGATGGCTACTAAGAAGCACTCTCTTTAAACTGGTATTAGAGGAAAACCAGATTCCACTTCAAATAGCCATGTCTGTTACTATTAAAATCTAATTCATACACATGCATGTATAAATACATCCACCCATGCATTCAAACCCAAGCATGTAGCACTGCCATTGGTAGCCTGTAAGACTGCTTAGATTTATACCAACTAAAATTTGTGTTCTCACTTTAGGGCTGGGACATAAACCAGGTTTTACACTCTGTCTTTCTCCTGACAAATTTTGCAGTGCCTGACAGTTTTATGTCTAACTCCAGATGCCACGTTTCCTAGAAAGCAACAATTTTCTGCACTCCTGAGGTCTATGAGAATATCAGCTCTCTGGTTTGTGCATAACATGTTGCAAGAGTCAATTGTCCCAATTGGCACTTAAGACTGAAAGGAGAGTTGTGGGAATTGGTACTAAAGTGTAATGACTGTTCCATCCTCCTCGATACCTCCTCTGGGGATAACCAGACTGTGTCGGGGATCAGTTTTTAAGGAGCTGAGTAATTTGTGGATGTTGCCGTTGCTTTCTCGGCCCGAGTTGTTGTTGAGCACCAGGTCCCTTTGAAGTCTGTGGCTGAGGCTGCTGCCGTTGATTCGAGAGAGGCTACTGGAAGTAAGGCTGTGCAGTTTGGGAATGTGCTGTGGCTCCAGACCGCCCTCGATGACAATGTCAGCCTCTTCATCACTCTCCATTTCATCGGGGTGGAAGTTCTGCAGCACGTGGGATGTAGGCAAGCTATGGTGACTAGCAGTGCTGTCTGTAGACTGGCCAGAGCTACCAGACATCCTACTGCTTCTAATAATATTGTTCCTCTGGTTTGCTGGCTTGACCGTGATAATAAGATTATGGCTGTTGGCAATCATCATGTCTGTGACTTGGTCGAGAGTCTTTCCTGCTACTTCAATGCCATTAACTTCCAGGACTTCATCATTCACAGCCAGCAAGCCTGTGCTCTCCGCTAAGCCTCCAGGAACCATACGAGAGATGAAGATACCAGGTACTTTTTCTAGTCCATGAGGAGTAACCCTGACACTAGTGCCGTCGCGAATGTAAAATCCTAAGGGTTTCTCACACCCGTGTCGGTACAGCCTCACTCGCCGGTGCGTTTCAGGAAGGATGTCCACATCGATGATGGAAGACACTGGTCTAAAATCATGAGGCATGCTAATGTTAATGTGAGGGCGCCGACGGATGTTGTCATTGCGGAGTGTCACCAGAGCCTTCTTCTTCCTTGATAATGTGTTGGTCCCAAAATTACTGTAGTCCACTTCATCTGAAAGAGAAACAGTAGCAATGTATCAATCAAACAGAGAATAATTCAATCTACAGGGCCTCTTCCTCTTAAATCTGGTTCAGTAAAGCCACACTCATAATAATACGGAAAAAAACAAATTAATTTTCATTTTATGTCCATCTGCACATCATTCAGAATGAATAAGTTGTTTCCAATGACTACCCATATTTCTTGCATATTCTGAGGGCAAGAGACTTCTGATTTTCAACCCCTCTACTCTGCCCTGGTGAGGCCACATCTGGAATATTGTGTCCAGTTCTGGGCCCCACAGTTCAAGAGGGACAGGGAACTGCTGGAGAGAGTCCAGTACAGAGCCACCAAGATGATTAAGGGAGTGGAGCCTCTCCCTTATGAGGAAAGGCTGAGGGAGCTGGGTCTCTTTAGCTTGGAGAAGAGGAGACTGAGGGGCGACCTCATTAATGTTTATAAATGTGTAAAGGGCAAATGTCATGAGGATGGAGCCAGGCTCTTCTCGGTGATGCCCAGTGGTAGGACAAGGGGCAATGGGTGTGAGCTGGAACACAGGAGGTTCCGCTTAAGCTTCAGAAGGAACTTCTTTACAGTGAGGGTGATAGAGCACTGGGACAGGCTGCCCAGGAGGTTGTGGAGTCTCCTTCTCTGGAGGCATTCAAAACCCACCTGGATGCCTTCCTGTATAATCTTGTTTAGGTTCCTGCTCTGGCAGGGGGGTTGGACTAGATGATCTTTCAAGGTCCCTTCCAATCCCCAACATTCTGTGATTCTGTAACTCCTGTTGTCAGCTGTGCAGAATGTAATTAGTTGCAGCCACAGGCTTGATACACCATCTTAGATGAGAGACAATATTTTCAGAGTTGGATTGTGATTTTACACATACATCTCAAGTGAGCAAGAAGTGTACACACATTCCTAACCTAAAAGTTTGAATTGGGGAGTATTTTAATATCCAGTACACAGCCTTAACTGATAGCAGACCTCAGGTACAAACATGAAAGCAGGATGTAAGAGAGTAGCTGGATATGTGTTTTTAGCCTAGCCTTTTCTAGAAATAAACTTATGTTAATATCTGTCTCTCAGTACAGCACTTTTCTCTTTGGAATATCTTACTTCATTTCAGCTGAATTTGACAGCAATAAAAAAAAAATACTAAAAGTGCCAAGTATCAAAAAAGTCCTGTGTAAGCAAGCAAATCAGTAGAATGAGAATCAGGGAGAAAGAAACTGCTCTGCTGCATAGTCCATATGGTAAGGATCAGAGAACAGACACGGACTCACACAGGTACTCCTGCCCTTGAGAGGAAGATCAACAGGAAAGCAGCTGTTGTAGGGTCTACTGTTTAAGGATTTGTTTAAATATTTCACTTTCTGTGGCAGCGTCTCGAGGGCATGTGCAAAGTGATCAACTTTAAATCAGCCATATAATATGACAAGTTATCCATATTAGAAGCTTATGTTGTGCTTTGCAAAAAAAAATACTTAGTCATTAAGTTGTTAGTGTACAAAATGCATCACTGCATTTCACATTAAAAATACTGTACATATTTTAAACATGAAGCAGACACTAGCTGGAAAATTATTTCACCAGGAGTTTAAGTGTGCTAACACTTTTCAGATAAACTAACAGACTTTCAGTTGATTCTGCTGTTGAAGACAAGTAATAAAATACAAAAGTACAATTATAGAACCACCACTAAGAAAATTTTGTCTCTGACAAATTAACCCTGCATAGAAATGTTTGAGAAAGTAAGACAATACTGCTACCTGATAAAAGGGGGAGGGGGGAACGGGACAGGGACGAGTCGATGGACAACCATTAGTAAAAACAACCTTATAATTACATTTTTATTTCTTGCAAGGTCTCACTTTCAAGTCAGCTTTCAAGGCATATTATTGGCAGACTTCAATTAAATTATATTAAGTTACACAACTCAAAGGACACTAAAAAGTGCTAAGCAGCAACCTGATCCAGCTGAGCCTGCTTGGAGCAGGGTGTTGGATTAGCTGGCCTCCAGAGGTCCCTTCCAGCCTAAATTATTCTGTGCTCCTACACAGTCCTTAGGGCTGGGGAAAAAAAAAAATCATTTGAAGACTTCAGAAAGACTATTTCTGCATTCTCTTATAACTTATTTACACTGGCTATCCTAACACTGAGGACACCACAAGTCATCCAGAAGGTCATCCTGAAGGAAAAGCTTTTGTGAAATATATTCTTTGGACAAGTTTGTCATGTTTAACCTCATGCTCACATCTTCTCTCTCCTCTCAGGTTACTCAGAGCTGTACAGACTGCACAGGCCCTTCTGTGTTATTTAATACTGGCGAGGCACAGGACTGGAAGTTCTTAAAATCACCCAAACACAAGAAGCTCCCATCTGGTTCCTGAAAGCACATTCACACCCAGGACAGTGACTGCGTGGAGACGGCACCTTCTCAAGTCCACCTGGTGAGCACGGTCAGTGCAGCGTCTGCTCTTTTGAATGCACAACTCACCTGTGGCAGCCAAAGCCAGGTATTATTCCTTTTCTTTCATCAACGGGATCACCATCATCTACAGTCACCTAGACTTTAAGTTTTGATGGATGATTTTGAAAGTTGGCAGCAAATACTTTTTCCTTCTAAAGTCCAGGTCCACAAGAGACATCTTTCATCACCACAGTCTCAAACACTGCACCCTGCTCACCCTCACAATTCACTGATTTCTGTGATAGTCCTATGAAAAAAAACTTCAGGATTCAGATTTAGAATCAAAATTCTTCCTTACTTGAAACATAGCGCTGTAGAATAGTAGTGCTGTACCTTAAAGCCCGAAACAGCCTCTATCCCAAAATTTCAGTTTAAGATGGCAATTAAAATTACATGTGGGTTTATACATTTAAGATTGGCTCTTGCAGTACTGGCAAACCAAACTCAAAAGCTGCATTCCTTAAAGACTCAAAAAATTAGGTTGGCAAGTGCAGGTAAAACAAAACACGCACCCTAGCTATCCATCTGTCCCTGAAACCACTCAGGTAACTGCTCTCTCCCTCTCTCTCAGTCTATTAATATTGGATTACTTTAAGGCAAACTTGCAAAAGCTTCACCTGGGAAGATTTGTTGACAACACTGTTTTTTCTTCCCCCTTTAATTAACATCAACCCAGAGAGAGAATTCTCACAACATGCAAGTTTGTGATGATCAAGTAGCACGTCACAGGAGAAATACGATGGTCCTCCTGACGTACATAGGTTGTTTCTGAAGCAGCTTCCTTTGGCTGAACCACCACCAGGGCAATGGCACAAAAGAAGGGGTTGTTTTGCCCCTGTGACCTCCTCACCTGCGCTCAGCTGCTAATCTGTCTCTCCAGACGACTGCCAGCATTCCTAACCTCTGAGCAGCTTCAAAACCACCACCTTTAATAACAAAAAGCCCAGCTCACCACAAAAAAATGCTATCTTTTCCCTCCAAACACGAACCAGGCAGAAGCAGAGATTTTTTTGTTTTTAAAACAGTGTCAGGCATTAGTTTCCAACTGTGATCTTAAACAGGATTACATATGAGAAAGATGAAGTCCCAGTTTTGACAGGTAAAACTGTTAAAAGCTATTATAGGTTAGAGAAATGAGAGCTAATCTGGAGAGCTTTTACGAAAAAACACTTATTCACTCTTATTTTCTATAAAAAGTTCAAGTACAGAATACACGGTCCTTGACAATACAGGTATTATATTCAAGAGGACCTCGTCACTAGCAGTTACACTCACTTGGGACATCACCTTAAAATAAAAAAACCTTAAAATTGAAAAACAACAAACGACAAACAAACAAAACCAACCCAAAACAGAATAAAACAGCTAACCTCCGATGCTATTTAGAGCCACTACTCTTGCTGCAAGGATAATGTAAAGTTTACTTCTTTACTCTACTGAAGTTTAACGTCAGCTGTTCCTGTGGCAGCAGAAAGTCATCAATCCCTAGCACAATTTAAAAATTAAAAAAAAAATAAAAATAAATCTTTCTTCATAAAGGAACTGGGAGAAGTCAGCCAACATCACTCACTTTTATCAACTCCAGGGTGGTCACACAGTGCTGTGTTACCTATTTCCAGTAATAAACTGCTCAGGTGGCACGTGTCAGACTGAAATTTAAACTGTATCATTGCATAATTTACAATGTCATACTTTTAATGAAGGTCAGCAACTTCATGTTAGGTTTTGAGTTTCTCACCATATAGGATTTCAAGCAGGAATATCACTTCAGCTAATGAAACAGACTGTGCTTGATGCCAGGTCTCTGTGAAGACCAGTATATACCATACGGAACCAGAGAGAGCTCATCTTTCATGTTTCATTTGTTGCAGTACCAAATTATCCTTTTGCAGAGCAAAAAGTCTACAGAAATCTGAACACATACTGGCAGGAGAAGTGCCATCAAGTGGCACATCTGAGCTGTGCTTAAAGACTCATATTTTACAAGTCTGTCATGTTTTCCCATGTCTTGAATGAGGCCAGAATGAAACATTACATGCAGGTGACAGAGGGAGAATTAGTGGTTTTGGTGCTGAAGATGACCCCTGTTTCTTACAGTGGGGCATATTGCATGGAGCATTTTCATATAGAAGATGTAGTGCTTTCAGTGATAACCACCGAACTTTGGAAGACTTGGACCTGAATTTTACCTTTGCCATTTCCTACTGAAAATACTGTTCCTGTAAAAAGAGGTGAAAAAGAACATTTACTATAATAGGAGAAGGACTCCTCAGCATTCCAGTTCTCTCCTATTTGAAATGGCAACCCAAAGCTACACAAAAAATACCTCAAACTCTTCTGTAGGCACTGAATATTACTGCAACTCTTTTCCCCAAAAGCTTCAGTTTTCAGTACATTTTAAGAAACATTTTGTTAGCTGGCAATGAGTTACATAAAACCTTAAGTATTTTGGCTGCACACTTTCTGTTAATGTGCCTTTTTTTTTTTTTTAATAGGCTTGTCACTACCTACTTACCCATGAGAACCTTTCTGTTACAGA